TTTTCATTAGAACTTTCGTTTCCGAGATATTAAAAATCGGAAATCTGACGAGGCAAAACTTCGAGATAAAGCTAAGCGGTAGCGCAGTGCCAGTGCCGTATACTCACAAGTCATCACCCGACTTTTATAATATTATATACTTGGCGTCGCGCCGCTACCGCAGCGCTTGATTTAATAGCAAAGAATAAAAAAAAATATATGAATTTATATTAGAAAATTTAAATTTTTTTATTTTGGATATTTTCATATATATTTCTCGGCAAAAAACGAGGTATAATATTACGTATATAATAACATAATCAAAAATAATATTTTAGAGTTTTTTTTAGTGTTTCGTGCGTTTTTATTTACTTAGATTTTAAGTTTTTTGGCTCTAAACGTTTCTTAGATTTAATTATAATTTTTTTTTATAATTCGTGTATTAACTATCTTCTGTAATTAAAAATTTACGAATAATAACTAACTCTGTAATAATTACGTCACTTATATTGATAAACGTTGATTATTATCGTCATTATCTAGTAAATTAATTTATAAATTGAATTTTGTATCGAGAAATGCAAATTTCACGAATTTTTGAATTATTATATCTATAATGTAAAAAATTAATTGAACAATAGTATAAAAAATTAACCAAAATGGTTCTTATTTTTTATAGCTTTATAAATTATAATACAAATAAATATATTATTTTTTATATAGAGTTCTTTTGTTATTCTTATTTAAAATTCTTAATTGTAACCTAAGCTACATATTGCAAAATATTGCTCTCGAGGAAAATTTTACTAAATATCTATAGCATACGTTACGTAGTTTTAATTAATCTATAGTTAATAAAATGTAAAAATAATATAATAAGGCAATAAAATAGCAATTTTGAAAGAAATAAATATTTATCTTAAAAAGAAAAAACAGGGGAAAAAGAATCTATACATAACTTGTCTAAATCTTCATTGTCTCACAAATCACAAGTTTTGTAATCCAACATTGAAATGATAAATAAATGTAAGACAACTGCACTAACCGTCTGTTTCGTTTGGATCTCATACAAATGAATCTTTTCGTTGAAATATTTAATTTCTCATAATCCATGATCAACACAATTTAAATCTACGAATTAAATATACACAAAAAAAGATATATCGTTTCAATTCTTCGGTATCATTCACGGCCGGACCAGATTCAACTAACTAACTAACTATTATTACGTGCGGCGATAACAAACCATTCAATTAAATTAACGAGCAATTTGGTTCAACAAAGGTTGCACCACAGAATTGATAATCCATTTTCTCTTTTGATGATCACAAAATTGATATTGTAACTTCTTCAATAACTACAAAATTTTGTTTTTAGTAAGTTTCATAAATTTTATTAAGTTTTTGCTACTATAATATAAGCATTCGATGTAAAAATCTTTCATATATATCTATATTAGGATAAGCCAAAAAAATAAATTTTTGAAAATCGGTTAGTAATATCCTCCAAAAATTAGCAATAGACCTCAATAGTCTGAGTAAAATTTCATCGAAATCAATTAATATCTTTAAGTTACCCGTTGACCTTGGAATTAATAAGTTTATGTATTTCTTAGATAGATGTGTTAAAATTCAAAAAAATATTTGAATTTTAATTCAATTTGGTATTATCTGTTGTTTTTTGGTCGCTAAACACGAATCCGAGGTCAGAAGTACACATTTCAAAATGATAGATCCGAAATATATATTCTTATACAAGATGTCCCATTTTAAATAATACATTAAGATTTCTTGAAATACAGTAGATACGGAAAAAATGTTTCAAACAAAAATTGTATGGTTCAGAAGGGGCATAAGAGGTATCATTCCTAGTAAACGGAAAAGAATTAAAATAGATTAAAATTTGTTAAATTCCTGGATAGAAATGGATTGGCCTCCATGGAAATGAATGTATTTTTAATTCATAATACGAATATAATATAATATTTTGTGGATTTGATAAATTGAAATGCATTTCCTAGTCACAATTTTTAAATAACGGTCATGATTCATTTTCATAAAAATCTATAGACATTATAAACTATACCTTTAAAATGTAATTAGATTGAAAAAACTGTATTTTCTATCTAGAATTTTGAATTACAACCAGTATTCACGATTTACTTTTTAAAACTGAACTTATTTTAGATAGGATTGAATCCTATCTAAAAAAAAAAAAACATTAAGTCGAACTCGAAATGTATCGTTGTTCTCGAAGTTATTGTTGACTCTTTTCCGCGACGCTGATTGGTTCTCTCGCTGCGTTAACTTCGTGAGCGGCTGTCATTGCATTGACTTTTGACAGTTGTATTGAGGTTAATGTATATTTTAGTTAATTATAATAAAAAGTAAAAGTACAGTTAAATAGCGCGCGCGAAGCACGCGTCTGTTAGTGCTAGTGTTGAAAAAATTGAATTAGGTGGGACAAAAACCAGTCAGTTCCGAACTTTTACATATTTTTATCAATAATTAAATAACAGAATAGACCGTTGAATGTTAGAAACAATTAAGATGGGAAAACGCCAATTATGGTCAAAGTGGAGCAAGTCTTGGTGGACAATAATATTACAATATGTGAATCTTACAATTTTTGGTTCAAATAAATCGCGTGCCGCATAATCGCATAATATTTTTATCAGATAAAAATTTTTGAAAAAGCTCATAAAGTATACAATCTATTTTAAATACAAGATCTATTTGAATCTATTGAATATAACATTTGTAGAAATATATATTATAGAAAAGCTTTTTATTCATGTTTCTTTAACAGATCTTACAATCTTATGTATTTAATTATTTTAATTAGTTTTGTAAAATTCATTTCAATTATTTTTAGTAAAAGCAATGAAAATAGTTTTATAGAATAAATAAAATTGATAGACGTAAAAGAGATACAAGCATCCAATCTTTAATTAAACTTGGTAAATATATCTAATTTCACAGTGCTCCAAATCATATCTATAATTAGATCTTTAAATAAATAACTCTGGGGTTTGCGATATATCTGTCTTTACTATTTTTAATTATAGTTGCTCTGCAAAAAGTAAGTTATTATCATCCTTGCATTAAATGTAAAAATTAACGATAAACAAATTTTTTTCATACAAACAGTTAATATAAAATATGTGAAAAAGATATCACATGAGCAAAGGTAGAGTAGTGTTGAAGAGAAATTTTCAGACCGCATCTTCTGTAGGATGCCCGAGGGTTCTCAAAAATGGAATTTTAATATCCGACTGTGTATCACGTTTCATCACTTGGTCTGATTCTTGTACAAAAAAAGGAAAATAATACTTTTCACATAGAGCGCAATTTCTAGTTGCTGGTGCTTACTCTTTGCGAACAAATTGCTGAAACAATTTTCTAAAAAACATGCAAAAGTTTATTAAACATTCGCCCTTTCTTAAAAATTTAATTTTAAAAAAATAATTTCTTATAATATTCAAAATTATAAAAACAAAATTTTAAATATGGTTTTGCATGTAAATTTTAAAATTTGAATACGGTCTTGTATATATGTATGTTATTTTACTATGTATTCTTTATGTTGTATATTTAACAATTTATACAAATTACACAAATCAGAAAAAATGGTAAAGCTTCAAACATAAAAGCAGATATCCACTTTTTTAAACACTAATTTTAATACTGTCATACATTCTACGTCTATCTAAATTTACCTCGGAGAGTTGTTACTATTTTTTCACATTAACTACTAATGGAAAGCAATAATTTTGCATTAATACAAAATTTTGTGTGTATAAGTGAACGTGCATGTGTACTTACGTACTAGGAAAAAAGATAGCACCACGTATCCGAGCTACAAAGCATTGATAAAAGCGTAGCGAGCTTCTGAGGGAAGTAGAAGGGATGGCGGTGATATCGCTGCAAAAATCCGCTATCTCTTTTACAGCGTAAATCGCCACTATGTGTGCGTAATGTTTTTTTTTTTAAGAATGCACACTAAAAACACGCGGCCATTTCATCAAATTATCTTATCCTCCCATGCTATCGAGACGTCGTATCATAAAGATGGTCGTTTTGCAGGCAATATCGGCGGTATATGCGGCGTCTTCATCGGCTTCAGTTTCATCAGTGTAGTGGAGCTTCTGTACTTCTGCGCGATCGCGTTTCGTGATATGCTCTGTAAAAAATCGGCCTTGCGGGAAGATGACGATCGCAAGGTTGAAATCCCATCAGTCCAACCTCAAACCATACGTGCAATATATTGGAACGAATTGGTACCGCGATCTTGGCATTCCGCGAAATACGGCAAATCTATTAACAGAGCTAGATATTGACCGGCAAGCTAACTAGTAAATTATTCGGAAAGATGTTCGATTAAAATCCATTTTTTTGTCTATTATAAACATTTGGATAATATTCGAAATGATTAAAAAGTATTTGACATTTTACGAGCAAATGTCGATTTGAAACGAAGCTGTAAAAATAATTGGAGGACAATGTCACTGTTTATTTTAATACATAGCAATGATAAATTTTTCAATTTTTTCAAAAAAAATGTACTTATAAGTTATATTGTCCAAAAGACGAAATCGTGACGAAAAATTCGTTAGTCGAATATTTTGCTATCGGAAAATAGTTTCGTAATCGTTCCACTGACAGCCGGAGGGTTTAATTTTTATGAAATAATATTGTTATAATAATATTAATTCTGTGTTAATGATAAAAAAATGCTATTTTATGATTGTAAAAGATTGTTACAAAAATCAACAAGTAGTTTTTACATGTTATATTATCATTATATAGATTATTTTACTAATGTTTTAAGCTCTTTATGAAGATTAGTTTTACATATCTTAGGTTTTACATATTATACATACTAAAAAGTGCCGTAGTACAACCTATGCAAAATTTTGGTTGCATTTCTGCATAATTAATGTGCACGTAAAATTATCGAATATCCATTAGGTAAGAGGATCTTTGCTTGATGCAAAAATTTAACAGTCAGCTTTTATATATAATAATGCATTACAAGCGCATCAAACTTTAACCATATTTTGTGAATATGAAATCGATTTTTATTCGACGAAATTATGATACATTATTATCTTAAAATCATTTTCCCACGTGGTGATTTTGGTAATTCAAATAAAGCATAATATCTGCATCCAAATTTCACTTTATATAGAAATTATAGAGATAATTAATTACACAAATTAATATAATTATTATGCATAATTATATCAATTTGTTTTGGGAAAAACATTCACCGGCTGCAGCTGCGAGTCGATGGTTGTTTCATAAAGACGATATTGCTGGATAATAAGACGTTATTAATGAGGGAAGTGCTAAATAATGAGGCTGCAGTTGTTTACGAGAGAGATACGAAGGGGCTATAATACCCTCTCTGTAAGAGCATGAATGGAACGTGATAGAAACACGAAGCTGCATGGGAATTGTTATCTGCTCCGATGACACGTTGGAGACATGTAATTAATTTCTCAGCGTAATTATGGTTTTTAATATAGACGTTTACATGCACTTATATTTAAAATAAAAGTTTATGCGATAGCGCTACGTTTGCCGAATAAGTACCTTTGACCTGTTTATTAAAATGACTTTAATGGGATTCTCGAGCATTTCGATTGACTTAACGAAAATCTAACTAAACCTTGCAATCAATATTGGCAATTCGATATTACGGTAAATAGATTCGACTGTTTGCAAATGTTGCTTGTCAGTACTGGCCGCACATGCAATTTCATCAGCACACATAAAGTCCGTTTTAAACATATGTGAATATTTTGTCACTATATTGCCCATAATCATATATATATATATATATGCAATAATGAGATTTTAATTAAAATATAAATTCAATTTACATATAAGTTATAAAGAAGAAATTTTATTCTGAGAGATCGTTCAGAACAATACTGATAAACTTTACGTCAAGATTCTTTGATCTTAAGTATAATTTTGTTATAGTTGAAATTCGTATTAATTGCATTTTATTAAAATGTTTATTAGAAGTAAATGCTAAAAAATTTAATTTTTATTTATACAGAGAGATATATAACATATATATATATATATACAGGGTGTTCCACCTCTACGGGATTTCCTTTTAAGGACATGTTCCTAAGATCATTTTGAGACGAAAATCCTAATACAAAAATGTCGAGGCTATAATACTTTTCAAATTATAAACGATTTAAAGATCGGAAGAGCACACGTCTG